TTTTCTGTGGAACCATAGTAAGCAGAGCAGATAGACATAGGTAACACCCACTGAAATATATATATTCAAGTGACCTTGCTCTTTAATTTCTCCCCTTCCCTTCCCTTTGCCCCCACTGTGGAAGGAGGATCAATGTATGGCAATAAAAGTAGGAAGGGTACCATGGAAAAAAAACTTACAATGCAGCAAATATCCACAAGTATTCAAAGGGGTGCCACACCAAGAGCTAAGGCTAGGGTGTGGTACCTTACAAATGCATAAAGTTGCACAGGACTAACCCAGCAGAAGAGTAAATGCCATGAATCTTCTACAAGCTTCACACTTCTGCTACCTTTGCCAGGGTGTTGCTCAAAGGAAGCAACAACAGGCTATTAAGCTGGTTGGGGGTTTTATAAATCTAATGCTAAACAGCATCACCTGGAGCCTTCATAAACAATGGAATGACCCATTCATTTATTCCTTTCACAAAGCACACTTTTGTCATGCCATCCTTGTGCTAAATACTGTGACTATATAACATAGGGTATTCCAGGACCATTTTTGGAAACCATTATATCATGAGGTAGTAATGGAACAAATAAACCACATAAATTCATAGAATATGGTTAAGTTTTGTTCAAAAAAAACTATGAAGACAAATGGATGGCAAAATGGTACCTATGGGTGACTTCTAACTACAACTATGTTTCCTTTGGCCACAGATAGACTTGTTTGGTTTTAAATCAGAATTTCAGAGGGAAAATATGAACTCAACCGCAAGCATGTATACAGCTAAAATATCTCCCCATCTCCAGTCTAAGACTATCTGGTTCTGAGAAATCCCATTGATATTTTACTAGTATTGTTCACTAATTCTGAATAAGAAGTTAAGGGTTCCAGAGGTTTTTTTTTTTTTTTTTTTTTTTTTTTTTAATGAAGAAGAAGAAAATAGGGTATTCTCAATTTAATATTATCAGGAGGAAAAAGTCCACAGTGCTTCATTTTTAGCCATGCAAGTATTCTCTGGTTTACAGAGGACAATTTAAGATGTCACTGTTTGGGGCCTCCCCAGTGGCGCAGCGGTTAAGCGCTGGGTTGCAAAGCTGCCCGCGGCCTCTGCGGCGCCGGTTCGATCCCCGGCTGCTCCCCGGCCACCGGAGGAGGATCCCACATGGCGCGCAGACCTCTCCTGCCACCCGCTGCTCCCCTCAGCAGTGTACTTCGGTCCTTCTGCCTGCTCTGCTCCCCGCTCTGGCTCTGGTGAATTCTCTCACCCTCCTGCGCTTCTGACTGTACCCAGTGCATGTATAAACAAAACAAACAAACAAATATAATAAATAAATAAAAACATGCCTCTATTAAAAAAAAAAAAAAAGATGTCACTGTTTGGAGAGGGAAGACATTATGAAGAGCTTGAGGTGGTAAAGATTAAAACGTAAGTATTGGATTGTGTGCTTATTTGGAGGGGTCAGTATTTTGCCAGAAAGAGTAGGGAGTGCTTTTCTTTAATGACCTCATTGTGCTCCTCCATCCTTGCCAACTCATAAGGCAAGCAAGGAGCTTTTCTCACTCCCAGGCCTCTTTCTTTACCTAAGGGGTGGGGGTAACTGAACTGAGAAGGGAGATGCTCTGAAAAGCAAATACATGTGGATGTATAAATCCAGGGGCCCCTAAGAAGGTGGGGAGGAAAGGAGCATTTACAGCTTACTGTGCACTAGAGAGAACCTACCCCCTCCCCCATCAGAAGTAAAGACTCTCTCCCTCCTTCCTGACTGCCCAGTGTTTGTGGTGCACCGTATCTTATCTTACCACAAGCACTGGATGAAAGAAAAGGGAGAAGAATGACGCCTGTGAAGTCAAGAGTGCTACCTACCCCGCCATGCGCCTGGCTGCGCTGATGCCTTTGTAATGTACCTACTGACATGTTTGCCTTGTCAAGAGTCAGGCTCCTGACATATCAGAGTTTACAATCTGGCCAAGGAGAAATATGTTAAGTAAAAGAAAAGTTGTGCAATGAGTTAGAAAATGAAGGAGTGGAAGGCACTCAGAGCATCTAACAGGGAATGTCTTGTCTGGCATAGAGGAAAGAAGTCAGAAGAGGTCCCTAAGGTTGACTCTCACTTAAGGATAAGTGTTAAACAGAGGGAATGGGGGGTGAGGGTGGGAGGCTTTATAAACAGGAATGTTGTGGGTCAGAAAAGATATGAAGGGAATAAACTGAAAGATGAGGGACTTGTGGCTGGAACACAGGAGTTCAGGGAAGAGGACAAAGGATGCCAAGCATGAGAGGGATTGGCAAAGGTTTGAGGTTTTACCTAAAAACCAAAATAATAATTTGAGGAGTTTCTAGCAAGAAGAGTTCCACTTAGAGTGCCATTTTTAAAATATCTCCCTGATTCCTTTCTGTGGAAACTGTATGAGATGACAAGATTGGAAATACGCTCAGATGTGGTCATGGAGAAGACAAGAATAAGGTTTTGCTCAGAGGAAGCAACAAAAGGACAAAGGCAAATGGGAATCAAAAGTTGCAGTGATATAACATGGGATGGGCTGCGTGGAGAACAGACATAGGAGGGGCTGATCATGAAAAGGGAAGTGGAAGCATCTGTGATGGCAGACTGTGATGGCAGAAATAAATAAGAAAGCAAACTGGAAGGACCAAATGTTGGGGTCCATGAAGGTGGAACCATTTCAGACTATGGCAACATCTGGAATGTGGCTGGCTATGGGAGAATGGCAGAGAATCACACTAAACATAAGCAGGTAAAAAAGAGTCCAGGTTGCTCCAGACCCACAAAAGCCTGGTCTAAGTTCCAGTTCCTAGAAGAAGAGAAGTTCAGCTACAGATGGAGTCATCCAGAATAATAGATCTAGAACTCCTGGCAGGGCTTCAGGATATACTGAGCATTTATTGCATATCAAGCATGGTATTAGGAACTATGAAGGGAGCTTAATGACATTCCCTCAGCCTTCCCACTTCACCTCATGTAAGTGCTTAGCTTGACTAAGTAAAAGCAACTATCACCACAGTCATTAAGAGATCCACAAGATCCCTTCCAGCGCCATCCATGTTGCTGCAAATTGCATGTGTTTATCTTTTTTGAATGCTGAGTAATATTCCATGGTGTATATGTACCACATCTTCTTAATCCAGTCATCTATTTTTTTTGGGCATTTGTGTTGGAAGGGATCATGCTCAGCAAAATAAGCCAAAAAGAAAAAGAAAAATACCGGATGGTCTCACTCATAGCAGGAATCTAGAAAACTTAAATAAGGGACCAGAAAAATGAATAACTATAAGAAAGCAAAAATCAAAATCAACAAAAAACTATCAACCAGAGACACTTTTGGGGGGGTGAGGGGTGGGAGGGGAGGGATTGGGGTCAGAATGGGGGGGTTGCAATTGTATGGGGAATATAAAAATAAAATTTATTATTTAAAAAAAAAAAGAGATCCACAAGAGATCCAAATCTTTTAGCATATAATTCTAGGGCAATCATGTGCCTCACAAGCAGAAACTATTGATTACTGACCTGACTCCATTCCCATGGTCTCAGGCTTATGTTCCACAGAGTAGATGAGTGCTACCTAACGTTACTCGCATATATGCCTCCACACATATGATTCCATATCTTGTTTCTCCTACAAGTCTATCGAGTCAAGGGCAAGTCATTAAGGTCCCTTCACCGTTCCTAATACAATCATTGATATGCAATAAATTCTCAATTCAGAATAAATGAATCCCATTTCTATGAACTTCAAAACTGGTCAAACTAATTTATCATATTAAAAGTTAGCACAGGGCCTCCCCTGGTGGCGCAGCGGTTGAGTGCTGGGCTGGGAAGCTGCCCGCAGCCTCTGCAGCACCGGTTCGATCCCCGGCTGCCAGAGAGGGTCCCACATGGTGCGCAGACCTCTCCGGCCGCCCGCTGCTCCCCTCAGCAGTATACTTCATCAGTCTGCCTGTTCTGTTCCCCACTCTGGCTCTGGTGAATTCTCTCACCCTCCCAGGCTTCTGACTGTACCCAGTGCTTATATAAATAAATAAATCTTTAAAAAATAAAAAAATCAAAAATAAATAAAAGTTAGCACAATCATTTAAAACTGGATGGTAGTTTCAATGCTCTGTTTCTTGATTGGGGTGCTGTTTATATAAATGTGTTCACTCAAAATTTATTCGTCCCTATAATCATGATTCCTCCATATTTCTGTATTTATGTAGGTTTTGATGACTTTTTAAATGGATGAATCAATCACTCATTCAGCCACTGGTAGAACCTAACTTAGCTTACGGTTGAAATACTTCCCCCAATGTGGGATCCAAACAGCAAGCTAAGAGAAACATTGGCAAGTATTTTCTAGTAAAGGCCAGACATTAAATGCCTTAAGAATTAAAGGTCATACATCCTGTCTCAACTCCTCAACATCTCTTCTATAGTGGGTCTCCCTGGTGGCCTAGGGGTTAAGTCTCAGTGTAATCAACAAGACGGCCAAGTTCAATCCCCAGCCAGGCCAAGTTCAATCCCTAACCCGCATATGGCACAGCAGACATCTCCTGTCTCACCTGCTGCTCCCCTCAGCAGTGTATTTCAGTAGATCTGCATGTTCTGGTCCCCACTCTGGCTCTGGTGAATCCTCTCACCCCCTGGCACCTCTGGCCTACACCCCAGTTCTTCCATGCATAAATAAATAAATCTTTAAAAAAAAAAAAACATTGCTTCTGTAGCACAAAAAACAGTCATAGATAATGCATAATGAATGCTCATACTAAATTGCACTGAACTTCAAATTTCATAACATTTCCACAAGTCCTAAAATAGTCTTCTTTTGACATTTTCTGAATCACTTAATAATTTTAAAACCATGCTTAGCTCTCCAACTACACCAAAACAGGTGGCAGGCCAGCTTTGACCCACAGACAGTGGTTTGCCCAGCCCAGCTGCACAGAGAGGACGTCCATGCAGCACATTTCCTGTCCTGTGTACAGAGCAGCCTGCCCTGCCCCTCAAGCACTCTCCCACCTTTGTAAGTAGGCAGACACTCCATCTTGTCACCATGTGGATATTTACTGTCCCGAGGTTTGATGGGTTCCATGCGACACAAAGGGTAGGGGTTGTAATCTTGTTTGTATGTTGTGAGAAGATCCATATTCTCTTCTCTTGGGATGAACTTGTCTGGCTGATAGGTCTTCACAGGTAACACTTTGTGAGGTACAAAATCCCTCCTGTCAGGAAAATATGCACATGTCATTGGGGGCCCTTGGCTCAGAATAAGACTCATGGTTTTCATTCAAGGGTTCTACAAATGTTTGCTGAGAAATCATCTTCTGCTCTAGCCCTCAGATGCTCTCCCTCCTCTTTACCACTTTTAAGAAAGGTGCCACCATTCCCTTCTCACCCGAGTTAGACACCTGGATGCCATCCCTGATCCACCCCTCACAGCTCCACACACTCACAAAGGCAACCCTCTACCATTGGCTTTTCATTCCTGCCATTTGTACTCAATTCCCACAGTGTGGCCAGGATAAACTCTTTAGAGTGAAAACTGGATTATTTCATTCCCCAGCTTAAAATGCTCGGATTAAGTCCAACTTTCTATTATAGTGTGGAATATAAACTTTCCTGGACTTGGCACTGCCTTAAACTCAACCTCATCCCCTTCCTGTTCCCCCTTCACTTTCCACTCCAACCACACAAGACCCCTGAGACAGTGTCTCTGCTGTGTCCACTCTCTCCACCTCCCTTGCCCTCAACTCCTTCACTATGGAACTCACTTCTACTTTCCAGGCACAACCACCATCTCCTCTGTGCTCACAATAGCTTCTCCTACTAATGCTATCTCCTTTCTCTAATTGACCTTACAGAAAACCCAGAAGGACAGAGTAATGCAATAAATGGAGACAATGAGTCTTTCATTTCTGTGCTATCTGGCATCAGATATTAAAGGAAGAGAGAAAAATGCATGCTAGCTTTCGTGAGGCAGGAAGCACTCCCTTCCCCAAGCATCATCCCCCAGTTATAAAAAGGCCAAGATGCTAACTGCATGATTGCCAGGAATCACCCATGCAACATCGGAGCTGAGCTGGGGCTTGCATGGCCCACCACGAGGGGAGTCTCAGCTTCCCACTGCTCAAAGCAAACATTTCCCCCCAAGGACTGCCGCTTTGCGCAACAGCCTGTTTTTGCCTGGAACCCATTTATCCAACTGGACAAGGGGAAGGTAGCTTTTCCCTGATGGTGCGTGCCAAAACAGCCTCACCAAGAGGAAGGGAAGGTTTCCGGACAGGAAAACATCACATCCACACACCAATAAAACCCACTTCCCGGCCGAAATCTGGAGCAGCATTACTGGGCCATGCTTGACTAGCAAAGGTAACATGCTCCACTGTAACCTGTCTTGCATGAATTATGCACATGGTTGTCAATAAGCCCAAAGCAGGCCCTGAAAATGCGTGGTGGGACGGGAGGAGGGAGTTAGGAAGCAGGAGAAGTCATCTCTCTAGGGCGCTAAGGGGGAAATGGGAGATGCTTCAGTTGAACCCCCAATAACACCCTCTGGATAGATTTAAAAATAACTCCCAGGAGCAGCTACAGGGCCTTCAGCCTGGCTCCTTCCCAGGCACCGCATGTTGCCAACAGAAAGGAAGCTGAGTGACCTGTGGCCTCGCAAAGCTAGCTGTGGAAATCGGGTCTTATGGAGGGAACAGGCTACAGAAGAAAGGGGCAGCACCACACTTCTGCTCCTCTTAGTGCACAAGGGCCTCACACCATGTCTGTTGAATACTGATTGCAGCAAGGAACTAGGAGCAGAAGGCCGTGTACTTCAGACAGAAAGGGAAATGCCTAGAAAGTCCTGTCTGAAAACCAGTTAACCGAAAAGTGACTTTTGTCAGAAAATAAATGCATTCTGGGAGAAGTGCACCCAAGAGACTGTGAGTTCTTTTCACTGGCAAAAAGAATGGAGCGAGGCTTGGGGCAGCCAAAGACCACCTATATCTCACATATACCCACATTCACTGATGACTACCCCATTCAGCCCTCTTCACTTCCATGAAGAAGCATCAGGATAAACCCAGGCAAATGAGGAGGGGCAAAGCTGAAGGCCCAAGCCACCTCATGGAGCCCTCCTGAGCCCGGAGCCACCAGCAGTGCTTTCCAGTCATGGGCCTGCCATGCTCTGCACACAGGCCCTGCACACAGGCCAAGGCATCCCCTTCTGTAGTTACAACTACTGAGGGAACCAGTGTCTCCCACAGATGCTTAAGAACCTTCCTTCAAGGGCTGCCAACTCTGCAACAGCTAAAGGACATTTATTGCCTCTATCTCCTGTGTTTCTGCAGGAAAAGAACAGATAAATGGCCACAACCAAACTTACTAGGGCATGGACTATCCTGAAGTTGATAGTCAAAGACAAAGTTGATGCAGCAAAATCCTTGCTCAACTGTGCTTAGGGGGCAATTTTGTTAGCTGAATCTCCTCCAGTACAAAATGCAAGTTTCTCCGGGTAAGTACATCTATGGTTGAATTTAATGATCTGCTATAACTTGAGGCAAACGATCTTGGGGGTGGGGGGATGATCCACTTTAGAAGAGAGGAAAGTTTTAAATTTTAAGTTTGATTCCTTGATCCATCCCCCATATTTACTGTGCTTAAGAGTGAATTTAATAAGAATTTATGTGTTTCCTCATGTTTTCACGTTAAGAACATTCACTGAAGGGTCTCCCCTGGTGGCGCAGCAGTTGAGCGCTGGGCTGCAAAGCTGCCCGCAGCCTCTGCAGCACCGGTTCGATCCCCGGCTGCCAGCGAGGATCCTACATGGCGTGCAGACCTCTCCTGCCATGCCTGCTGCTCCCCTCAGCAGTGTCCTTCGGTCCTTCTGCCTGCTCTGCTCCCCACTCTGGCTCTGGTGAATTCTCTCACCCTCCCGCGCTTCTGACTGTACCCAGTGCTTGTATGAATAAATAAATAAATCTTTAAAAAAAAAAAAAAAAGAACATTCACTGAAACCTGTCAACCACAACATAACTGCTTGTGCCCAATCTCTCACAATCTTAAAGACTTTAAGTTCATGTAGAAGAAAAAGCTTTATTTTCTCCTTGCAGAAATTGCTCAAAGTGAGTAGCTTTAATTTAAGAATACGTCCCTCTCTTCCTGTGGTATATTTCCTAGTCTCTATGCCCATTGTGACTATGAACCAAGGAAAATAATGGGCAAAGATGCTAAGTTTCTTTTAGGTAAGTAGCTATAAAAGTTAAATAGTATGGAAGGCCAAGAGTTAAACTCAGAGTTAAGTAAAGGTTAAAGTGGCCCTGCTGGGGAAGTCATAACAGCTTGACTTCCCATTATTAGGCAAAGCCAAAGAAAGGTGTTTGACAAGAAGCCCTCCCCCCCCCCCCCCCCCCCCCCCCCCCCCCCCCCCCCCCCCCCCCCCCGCCCACAACAGCGAAGAAGAAATAACAAAACATAACTGGGGTCGTGAGCCTGGAAGCAGGGAAAAAAAGGAGATTTTCACCCTGATAAAGGGTCCATGACATACTTTACCCCTATTTTTAATGTTATCTATACAAACTTCAGAACTTGTTAGTGGCCCAATTAATCACACTAAGTGGAATCCATTTCAGAAGAGTTCCTGCTCTTACCCAAATTCAATCTCTTTACCCCGGCCCTATCCTCCTATACTCCTCCTTCTCAGGAACTTTGTCTAGAGACCATCTTCTGTTCTGTGACTTAACCTCTTCCTCCTGTCAGTATTTCAACATGCTCCAATTATGCCTACCCTTAAAGGAAGAATACAACACAAGCTCACAGGAGCCCGCTCTCCGTCTTCTCTTTCCACCCCTTCTCATTCTAGGAAAGTGTTGTCTAGAGATGCAGACTTGCCTTCCTCACCACCAACCCCCCATGCTCCACCCACCCATAAAATGTTTCTACTCACTCCTTGCTCAGTCAAGACCTCCAAAGTACCACCTTGTTCCTAAGCCCAGCCATGCTCCTCAGGCCTTTCTCTGACTGCACTGTTATTGTAACATCTGCCCTCTTGTTGGTTTTTATTAATACTTTCTCCCTTGCCTTGTCGTGACAGACCAGCCCTTCAGGAGTCAAGTCACACACAGAGTCTGTCTCTTCCTCTACTCTTTCAACTCCTCAACCCCACGAAAGCTGAGGCAAACACAATCTCACATAAACTCTGAATATGTTACAAAATATACTACAAAAAATACCTTTAAGCCCTACAGAGCAACAAAGATTAACTGGTTTTGAAGCAGAACCCAGAGACCGTAGTAAGGAATGGTACTGGGTGAACCTCTCTGTAAGATTCCATTTTGTCTTTCAAAGCTTCCAGCCTGAAGGCAGGCTCCATTCTGTGCTAATGTGACTAGAAAGTCTTTCATCTTTTTTGACTGAAGAGCCAGAGGGATAGTGTTTGAGGGAAACACAGGGTGGTAGAAAGTAAGGAAGGAATTCTAGAAAGGAGAGAGGCAAGGACAGGAAATCTGAAATTCTGTATATAACCCAGGCCCAAACACCTGGCTGACATTGTACACATGAGGAAAAATTCAAGCAACCACACTAATGACAAAAAAGTGAACTGAGATTTATGCTCCTAGCCAAGGTAGAGTTCACATTGTGTCCAATCAAGTAAACTTCTATCTGCTTACAACTTCAGAGGACTGTAAAAATTTCCCGAGGGCCTTCCCTGGTGGTGCAGCGGTTGAGCACTGGGCTGTGAGGCTGCCCACAGCCTCTGTGGCGCCGGTTTGTTCCCTGGCTGCCGGCGAGGGTCCCACAAAAAAAAAAAAAATTCCCGAGTCTCCACAATACAACATTAACAATGTATAGGATCAATCCAAAAATTACATGACACACATAAACGAAAATGTGAGCCATTGTCAATCAGAGGTAAATGCAAATGAAAACCACAATGAGACATCATCTCACACCTGTGAGAATGGCCCCTATCAAAAAGCCCACTCCCACACTGTAGACCGGTCCAGCCCCTACAGAAGACAGCGTGGAGGTTTCTCAAAATATTAAAAATAGATCTACCAAATGATCCAACAATTCCAGTCCTAGGTATCTCCCCAAAGAATGCACTCCTATGTTCACTGCAGCACTATTTACATTAGCCAGGTTTTGGAAACAACTTAAATACCCAAGAACAAAGAAGTGGATTAGAAAAATGTGGTATATATACACCATGGAATATTACTTAGCTACCAAAAACAAATGATAAACTCTTGCCACTCAGAGCAACATGGATGGAAATGGAGGAGATAATGTAAACTGAAATAAGTAGAAAGGAGAAAGACAAACACTGGATGGTTTCACTTATATATGGAATAGAGAAAGACAAAACCAAGAGTGAGACAAAAGTAAACCAGTAACTCTGGAAATCTGTGGAATTGAGGCTACAAGATGAGACAGGGATGGGATAATAAAGTGGGGAGGGGGTTCAATGGCCTATGTTGGAGGACTGTGGATGCCCTGTGGGTGGGCGTGTGGACATGCATCTGAACAGATGTGATCCTGTGCCTCAGAATCACATGCAATGTTGCAAACCAATGCTATCTCAATAAAAAATATCCCAAGTCAGAACCTAAAGAAATGCAATAGAAATAAGTATGTTTTGACAGTAATAACAATAGCAACACTAATGATTTTTATAAAGTGCTTATAAATGTCAAGCACAGAACCAAGAGCTTTACACTGGCTATCAAATACTTTCTCTCCCTTCCCTCCTTTTCTTTTGCCTTTCCTCAGCCTTCTTAAAAACTACATGAAGGCAAAGCAATTACTAGGAAAAACTGGAGGAGGAAGGGTGAGAAAAAGCAGATTTTTAATAACTCACAATAGTCTGACATTTTAAAGGTCATTTTTGAGGGATGAACGAACATGAGGTAACCTACCCTCAAAAATTAATAGTAGCCAGTAAATAAATGCAAGTTATTATCCTCATTAGAAATCAAATATAAATTGACAATAAACAACTCTACCTTTTTAATTGCAATTTCCAGCATTGGCAAAAATATGGTGAAATAAGTACCTGTGCGCTGATGAAAATATGCGTCAGTATCACATTTTCAGATGACAATTTGGAAATACATATCATGGGTCACAAAAACCACAACACTCTTTAACCATGTAATGCAACTTTTAGGGATGTATACTGAAGAATAATCATAAGCAGAGATTTAGATATTATTTGAATGTTGAAAAATTAGAATATTTATGTACCCAATGAGAAAATGTTAAATAAATCATAATAAAATAACTTTTAAAAGATAATGACCAGCCCCAAGTAGATCCAGATGTTGGAATTAGTAGGTAAGGATTTTAAAGCAGTTATTTTTAAATATGCTGAATTACAAAACACAAAATAAGGTCATAATGAATTAAAAGGAAATCACACAAAAGAAATAGAATGTATACCAAAGTATTTACTGTATATTTTAAAACTGAAAAATATAATATCTGAAATAGAACATCACAGGATGGGCTTAATATTGGAAAGGAAATGAAGGCAAAAAGTCTCAATGAACTTGAAGACAAATCAATAGAAATTATCCAGTTTGAAGAACAGAAAAAGTGATAGGTAGAAAGAAATGAGCAAATCCTCAGGGACAGAAAATTACTTGAAGAAATAATGGCCAACATGTCCCCAAATTTAATCAGAGCCACAAGATCAGAGGCACAGAAACTGTCCAGGCAAGTCTAGTCCTGAGATGCTTCCCCATATGTGTCCATTAATCCTCAGGCACAGTCTACCTGGGGGAGAAATATATGTCCTATGGCATAGTCCTCAGTAGAGATGAGTTTGTATTTGAACAGAAAATGTATAAAATTCTACAGGTAGGAAAGACTCAGACCCACTGACAGCCTTCTTGTTTCTTCCCTGCTTTTAGAGAGGACTGCAAGTGTGCATTCTCATTGAGTCTCCTTCCCCTAACTTCCTCAGTTTACCCAGGAATCTTGTGATTAAATGAAAGGATCACTCTGCCAACTCCCTGCCCTCTGCCCTTCAACCAAACCCATCAAGATTGAACCTGAAAACATGTCCACCCCCACCCCATCCCTCCCTATGCCTCAATTCACCCTACCCTCGGTACCACTTTCTTTAGAATGAAGGCTGAACACCATCTTTCTCTTTTCTCTGAGGTCATCCACTTTGTCCCGCTTTGGGGACCTGGCTTAACCGACAGAAATAATGTCCTAAAATGGGGCCCACGTGTTTTACATGGTGACATGCCTAAGGGGAAATGAGGCTTGAAGTACAAACCTCTTATTCATAAATTGACCTCGGGCCTATCTGAACTAAAGACAGATCCTATGTGAGAGAATTACCAAGGGCTGCAAGAAACGATTTCATACGAAGAAGGGCTGAAAATCATGAGCCTTCCCCTCATGGCACCTGCTGTAAATCCCCAAGATTTACAGTCCGTAAGAGCTCTGTGCAGCTGTAATTGTGCCTCATGCTGGGATGATAACCTTTCCAGAAACCAGGTGTTTTTTGTGTCTGGACTTAATCACCAACCCAGCCAAGCCCTGGACCACATGACTCTCTCATTCAGCAGGTGGCAGACCCATGTCCAATCTCAGCCCATTGACAGGGAGGTGAGCAGGATATTCTGATAATAAGCGTTACTGTGGATGGGGTGACAAGCCACACAGGCACAGGTGAGACAACACTGCCCCCAGAAACCTCTTTTGGAACACCCAAAAGATAGCTTCTCTACATTTCCTGACAGGAGCAAAACTGTTCTCAGGCTGTGAATATTGGTGCCCAGCATGACAAGCACGGGATTGAGAAATGAAACTGGGGTGCAGGGGAGAAAAGAGGTACCCTTTGTGTCCCCCTTAGTTCCCCTCCTGGGGAAGAAAGAATGGGAAGGAGAGAATTATTTGTTCTTTTTCCCTCCCATGGGTAACCTGCTGCTTTTTCTTTTTGACTCTTAAGATCAATAACAATTTTTTTGGGAAATTCTTTCAGTGTCTGCGTTCCTCCACTTTGACCACATCTTAACACGAATGATATTGTTATTCTGGCTTTGGCAGGGGCAGAGGGACCTTCTGGATGATATGTTTCTTGCTGTAAGTGACATGAGGCAAGAATAATTTAGGTCAGGTCAGAGGGGAAGTTTTTGTTTCACAAAGCACCACCCAAAGAGAGGAGGCAGGGCAGCAGGGTGGGGGGCTGCACCCGGGGGGCCTGTGGGCTAGGTGATGGGGCTGCTGCCCCAGGGAGAGGGTTTGTCTTCATTTTCCTAAGCTTGTAGGCAACAAACAAAAAATATCCTTCAGCATCTAACCCTCAAAGCATCCTTTTCTATATTCCCAGGACAGGAAACATATCTCTAATATAACATCATCCAAAACTCTGCTATATATTTCACAAGACACCTTGATTTCCTGAAATTTGGGTATAAACAGAGAGAAAACCAGCATCTAGAGGTTAAACTGGATATTTGCAGGCCACTCTTTACCTATCAATGACAAGTCTTGTCTGTGTGCCTAGGACTTTTCATTAGCTTTGACTCCAATTTTTTAAAAGGAAAAACAATTCTCAGGAATGTTTATTGTCTGTTGTGGTCTTAGACTCTCAGAAATAAAAGATGCTGTTTTCCTGGCAAAATGAAGCCCAAACCTTGGAGTCCATATTTAGTAAGTCATAGGTTGAAATAAGTCATAGGTGTATAAATTAAAATTTTGTGTGCAAATCAAGTCCCAGAAACATGGTGCTTCAAACAAATCATTTAAGGTAACTGCTTAGTTACCTTGTCATGCATCAGACAACCCCTAACCTCACTCCCATTCTCAAGTTGCGTCTCTTCAGTGGTTCTCACCCAGTTCAGGAAGCCATTGACTTCACTTTTCCCCTCACTGGTCTTTCTGCCCCACAACCCAGACATGGACTTCCATTTGGTCTAGAAGGTACCAGCTTTTAGCAGGAACACTTCATGCCCCAACCCACAATCTCAGCAGGGTCTATTTCCAGGTCTATCCTTGGGAACACTGGGAGGTAGAAAGAATTAGAGCTGTTCTGTTTAACCTGAGCCAACTGGGACCTTAACTAGAAAAGTACAAAATTATCAGGCAAGGAAGGAGTAATCAGAAGAGACTTGAGCAGGTCTGGGGCCTCTGTAACATGCAGGCACTGCACTGGGACAATTCACATGCACTGGCATCTCCACCTCACAGCAATCCAATGAAGAATATCAACAGCATGGAACTCACCCATCTTTCAGGTGCCATCTGCATGCAAAACGTTTCTGCTCCTGGGTCATCAGTCACAAGTCACTATCTTGAGGCCACTAACTGAATTGCCAATGGCCAGTTCTGCTGGAGTCTTGCAACACGTGGAACAATCCTGAGACTGGTCATTACTTCCTACCCCGTCAACACAGACACCTGTGCAGCCCTAACACACGGAGCCAGGTGGTTCAGAATCAGAGCTTAGAAGAGCAATAATTTCCAAAAAGCGCCCCCTTTGTTATCAAGTCCTCTTTCACTACTATCACCATCACCCCCACCACCCAAGCTGACCTGGAACTTATGTACCAAAGTCCATCTTTTTCAGCAGTAGCAGCCCTCTTTCCATGCCTCTATTACTTAACCGCCAACCTTTACATCGATCAATTTAGTTTCACTTCCCCCATCCCACACAAGCAAGAATCCTTTCTCTTTAAAATGGAGTTGGCAAAAACCAAACAGACTAATAAATGCAGGGTTTCCTTTCAGTGATACAGTAAGTTGGCATTAAGGCATTAATGGCCTATGCTGATACTGTACATTAATGCAATACTGCACGTTAGCACATTACTGTTGTACATTAGGACTCCGGCAACAATGCTCTTCATACCATTTGCTCTCACCTCGATGTGGTCAGCCCTTCCATGGGTATGGACCCTTTCCGGTACTCCGCTTTGGGCTTGAAGGACTCTCTGGGCAGGTAAGAGTGATAGAGAGGGTAGTTCTCGGTGTATTCGGAGAGAAGACATGGTTTCTCTGTTTTATCATAAATCTTAGTAGAGAGATGTGGACAGTGGTGCCGCCTATAAAAGACACAGGAAATTTTAATGTTAGTTGATTACCTTCTTGGAAAGAATACATCCAGTGTGATCATACTCCTCCCAAATTATGCCCCAGGTGATAAAATCATGACTACCAGCATTGAAAACAGAAATTTAACCCATCTATTTCTCCCCTAACCTATGTGAAGTAGCCAGAATTTAGAAGGTTAGGGGGTAATTACTTGCTTTTTTTTTTTTTGGTAGTATTATTGACATACAACATTATTTCAGTCTGGGGTATATAGCATAATCATCTGGTGTTCGTATACATTACAAAATGATCATGACAATAAGTCTATTTACCATCTTAACAACTTTCTGTTTTGCAACACCACATTGCTGGTTATATTCCCCATGCTGTACATTACATCTCCTTGTTGACTTTGTAAATGAAACTGGCCTCTTATTCTCCTTTATCCATTTTGCCCTCACTCCAACACTTCTCCCTCTCTAACCTCTTAACTGTTTGCTTTTTTATCGCCCTCCATAAAACAAGTGAAGTCATACAGTATTTTCTCTTTTCTCTCTCTGACTTATTTCTTTTAGCATAACACCCTCAAGTTACATCTATGTTGTTGCAAGTATAAAGATTTCATACTTTTTCATAGCTAAGTAGTATTATATTCCATTATGTATGTGTGTGTATCCATTCTCCTTTATCCATTTATCTATTGATGCTTCCACAGAATTTTCTAAACGATCTGTAGCTGAAATTAGTTAATCACAAAATTATATAGATCATAAATACAAGCACTGGGTACAGTCAGAAGCACGGGAGGGTGAGAGAATTCACCAGAGCCAAAGCAGAGAACAGAACAGGCAGACCGACAAAATACACTGCTGAGGGGAGCAGCTGGAGCGGCAGGAGAGGTCTGTCGCGTCATGTGGGACCCTCGCCGGTGGCCGGGGATCGAACCGGCGCTGCAGAGGCTGAGGGCAGCTTCGCAGGCCAGCATTCAACTGCTGTACCACCAGGGGAAGCCCGTCATACTGCTTTTTAAACATTGAAATACTTCCAGACCATAATAGGTAAATGACTGTAACCCCAGTGAGAGCCCTCTGAGTGCCACCCCAGCTGCCCTATCCATCCCCAAATGTTTTCCCCAGCAATTAGGAGTTCAATACTTGATCCTACAAGGGGGCTCCAAGACTGAGCACTAGAGCCAGGTTAGTGTTTTTCCTAATGATTGGCTCCTGGGTCAATTCAGAATATCACCTTTGCACATAAGAGCATCACCTAGCAGAAGCACCTCACGGAGCTAATAAATACGATTAACTCTGTGAAACCATTTTCACAGTGAAATTCTAGCTCTATTCTTCAAATGCTGCCTCCTGAAAAAGAGTTCTGCTGATCATTTTATGCCTAAAATACATACTGCTTCCCACCTTCAGTTTCTCTCATCACCATGGAGGCCTTTCTCACCACATTGGTATCTATAGCTGGCATGTTTATTTGTTGAGTTTATTTATTGTCGGTCTCATCTATCAAGTCAGGATCTTACTATCTTGGCTGCTACATCCCAGTACCTTGTATCCTGCCTGCCACATAGTAGGCCTCCAATAAACTTTTCTTAAGTGAATGACTAAATCTATAAATGAATGATTAAATCAAATTTCTGCCTCATATTCAGGTAGATGATAAAAGACGATTTGAAGCTACAACTTTTAGGGAGATTTTCCATTTTTCATGCTAGTAATAAATAAACATCATTCTACTTAGAGCGAGGCAAAGGGCAGCTATTTGAGGTAACACAACTAAAGAACCTGTCAGTTACTTTGGTGCCCACATCTGATCCTTGCAAACCAGTGGGGGCACCTCTCATCATCTGACACCAGTACATGAACAAAACTCCAACTTAGTTTTATCAAGAATTATTAACTTTTTTACCCTGAACTGATTTTAATTGTAGGAATTAAAATACATAGTTCTCATAGTTCTGGGCATACAGAGGAAAAAGAGACAGAGAACTCATCACTGCTTTAATCTAAAGCTATTTTCCAGCCAACAACTAACACACTGTTCATACTATTAATAATGTTGACCCTCTGTGCAAATGTTGTTGCCACCACTGTTTTTGCTGGTTACTTCTCATCAACCCCAAGTCCCAAGAGAAAATAATCAACACCGATGTTCATAGGGCTAGAACTGCATGTTCACACGTGCATTTCGTGATTCCCCTCTATTTCCTTCTCATTTGTAGACTCCTGGATTGCAAAAGACTTAAGATGGTAAAAAATTGCCACAATAACTTTTTATTTTTGGTATTATAAAAGTACTGTCAGTTCATCGTAAATATTTTAGACTTATCAATAATTTACAATGGAAACTTGAGTGAATATGAAATCCTGAGTTTCACTCTGTTAAATACAGAGCTTAGTCTGTATTTAGTCAATAAAAGCTTAGTCTTTCTTTTTCAAAATGCTCATTGTTGACATTAATGTACAAATACATTGTATGTATTTAAGAAAATATTCCCTAATCATAGGTCTGTAAATTGATAAGTGCTTTAATCTTCTGTACATGTTTGCATAGTTAACAAAATAACCATATCCCATAGCATATCAATGATAGATGTTATTTCTGTGCTCACAATCAGTCCAATTGTCTGAAATTTCAATCTTAGTCAATTAGTATCCTATCATTTTAGGATTCTTGTAAACCTCAAGTCAGAAGTCAAGTAGTGCTGACTACCAAAAATATCTCTGCAGACATATTTTATTCACCTACACTCTGAGAGAAAAGTCAAGATTCTGTAAAGGATAACTTAAATTCAGGCACTTGCAGTCACTTGGACCCCACAGGCACAACAGTAATTCCTCCTCTACAATACCCTTGTTTTGTTTGTTTCATTGAGCCAACATTGGTTTACAACACTATATAGGTTTCAGGGAAACTGCTTCCAAAATCAGCAACAGTATATACTACACTACACCCACCACCAAATGGCCAGTCACCATCTACCACCAACCAATCAAGCCCCACTACCTGGTCCATTCCCCTCTGTTCCACTCTGGTCACCACTGTTCTAGAAACTTGTAAATGTCCGAGTCTGAGGATTTGTTTTTGTTTTATGTGTTCATTTGCTTAGTTTCTTTATAGTCCATTAAGGTCTATCCATGCTGTCATAAATGGCAAGATTACATCTTTATATGGTTAACTAGCATCCTATTGTGCACATATACCATATCATCTTCATCCATCCATCCATCATCAAGTGCTCTTATTTTTTTAAACCAGTAAAACTGGTGTTCATATAATCCTTTCTATATTGTCACCTTTTTAAATGTAATATACTATAAAGGCTATTCCAAAACCATTAATTTAATGACAGAATACTAAATTGTCATTGGTATCATGAGAGGGATATTAGTAGAGCAAGCTTTCATCCAGATATTGGCATTCCACTAAGTGGCACTTGCAATCACTTGGACCCCACAGGCACAACAGTAGATCCCCTCTCCAATGCCCTTGTTTTGCTTGTTTTATTGAGCAACATTAATTTAAAACACTATATAGGGGCCTCCCCAGTAATGCAGCAGGTTGAGCACAGCACTGTGAAGCTGTCCACAGCCACTGCAGTGCAGGTTCAATTCCTGGCCGGCCAGGGAGATTCCCACATGGCGCAGCAGACCTCTCCTGTCATGCCCGCTGCTCCCCTCAGCAGTGCTTTTGGTCTGTCTGCCTGTTCTGCTCCCCACTGTCTCTGGTGAATCCTCTCACCCTACCATACCTCTGGCCTGTACCCCAGCTCTTGTATAAAATAAACAAAACAAAACAAAATAAAATAAAACAAAACACTGTATAGGTTTCAGGGGTATTGTTTCCAAACTCAGCAACTGTATATACCATACTACACCCACCACCAAATGGCCAGTCACCATCTATGTCTTTAATTATTTGGCTTAATGCAAGTTAACTAGTCTGTCCCACTTTGAATTTTATTTTTAAGTCTCTTATTTGAAAATAAATATTTCACTGCCTGAGTTTGCTCATGGGGTTACCTCCATTCCTTACTTGCACCCAAATACTTTAAATATACTTCTCAAGTTGCCCAGCATTCCAACTTCTTCTTGGTCTGCCCGCTCCCACTTGAGGCGTTCCAAGTCTGCTCTCTCTATCCTGGAAGCTAGCCCAATGCTGATTTTATTTATTTAATAGCTGGATGGACAGACAGTATATGAACTGCTGAAAGATGTTTACAAGTCATCAAGAAAAGGAATATGAACAATTTTTTCAAGCATTAATAGAGCCATAAAGGAAGAGATTTCAATTCTCCATTTTTCTGGACCTTGTCAGTGCCTAAGGAAAATTCACGGCTCACCATACTTGGGGTACTAAAAGAAGGCTTGATAGTTACGAGGTAAAGAAATGAGCTCCCCTTCAAGCTCTCTGATCTTTCATCATTTTAGGAACTTCCACCTTGCTTGGACACACATTCAAACAAGTCTAGATTGGCCCAAGAGTCAGCCAAGGCAAAGGGAAGCGAGAATACTCTGTTGGAACTCTCTTTGTACATGCAAATGAAGCTGCTAGAGAATGTAAAATGACTTGGTTCTGAAAGACCAGAGATAAACGAAAATAATCCTGATCTTTTCTGATATTTGGTAAGGAAAATGGTAAAGAGCTTTCTTTTTTTTTTTTTAAGATGTATTTATTTATGCATACTAGAGCTGGGCTACAGGCCAGAGGTGTGGGGGGTGAGAGCATTCACCAGAGACAGAGTGGGGAGCAGAACAGGTAGATATACTGAAATACACTGATGAAGGGAGCAGCAGGTGAGACAGGAGAGGTTTGCTGCACCATGTGGGTCACCTCCCTGGCCAGTGGGGGATCGAACACGCAGTGCTGCAGTGGCTGCGGATAGCTTCATAGTACTGTGACTTAACTCCACACGCCACCAGGGAGGTCCCGGTAAAGATCTTTCAACTGAACCCATAAAAGTTTACCAACAGTTAACTTTGAGCACTGACTCCAAGCTGTA